GCCCCCCGTTCCATCCCATTTCGCTCTGCCTCGCCTCTCTCCTCGCTGCTCGGCCCTGGCCTGGCCGCTCCCTTTGCTCCACTACTCGCCCTCTTCTGTCTCGTCCATCTCACCCATGCCCATCGCCTCCCTTCCCATCCCCACCCCGTCCATTCCCGCCTCGCACTTCCCCGCCACACCTATTCCATCCCCTTCATACCATCGCGCCCAGCTCTGTCCATGCTCTACTAATGGAAAAACCAAACATTTTTAAACGTTAGATGAAAGTTTGTTAAAAAGAAAAGAATACACCAAACAAAATTTTTTGTCTAGTGAATTTGATACCAATATTTTTTTTCTTATGAGTTTTACCAAAGAGATTACAGATGAAAATGTGAAACCGTATCAACCCTACAAATGAAACGATATATTAAACATACAAACTCTTGACAGAACTTGAAAAACTCATCTCTCTCCCGTAACTTAGCATGAAATTTATTTAATAAACTTAGTAAATAAATAAATCTTTTTGAATAAAATAATTGAATATCCATTGAATTTGGAGAAAACATCCCGATTCCTGCCTTCCCCATCTCCGCTCTCTGCCGTCCTTGTCCATCTCATTCTCACCCCGCCTGTATCCGTGTCATCCACCCACGCCACCGCAATAACGCTCATCCCATCCCTGCGTCGCTAAACGCCGCCTCTGCGATTCCCGTTTCTGCCCGTCCTCAACCCGGGCACCTGCGCATCGCACGTGCCCTCCCCATTCCTGCCACTGCTCAGACGGCGCCCTCGCGGCGCCGCGCTCTGCTTCGCGACCCATCGCACTCGAGTGAAGGTGAAATAGCGGCGGCGGCGGCGGAGGAGGAGGAGGAGGAGGAGAAGGCGAAGGCGGAGGCGGCCCCGCCGTGCAAACGGGACGGCGCCTGGAGACAGTGAAAGGAAAAGAGAGAGGAGAGGCATCGCTCCGCACCGCCCCACCCCGGCCCGTCCACGTCCTGCTGCAGCACTATAATAGGCGCCCCGACGCCAGCGACTCCACTGCAGCCGCAGCCTCCGACTGAGACGCTTCCGCACACCTCCACTCCCAGCATGCAGTGCATCTTCGTAAGTTGACGCTCGCGGTTGGCGCTGGGGCTCCTAAGCGTGGGTACACACACACACACGCAGTATTTTATTACGACTGATTTTAATTTTTGATCATATGTAATTTCAATTTCGCAACGAAATCTCTGCACATAGTAAAGCAGGTATTTCGTAAATCACATATTTTATGGTAAAGTCAAAATTGGAATGATTGGACAAAGTTTATTCTACATGTTTTACTCGAAAAGAATGTTTTCTCCAAATTCAATAGATATTAAATTATTTTATTCAAAAGAATTATTTATTTACTAAGTTTATTAAAAAAATTTCATGCTATGTTACGGGAGAGAGATGAGTTTTTCAAGTTATGTTTGTACGTTTAATACATCGCTTCATTTGTAGGGTTGGTTCGGTTTCACATTTTCATCTGTAATCTCTTTGGTAAAACACATAAGAACAAAATATTGATTTCCAATTCACTAGACATAAAATTTTGTATTGTGTATTTTTTCTTTTTAACGAAATTTCATCTAACGTTTAAAAATGTTTGACTTTTCCATTAGTAGATTAGTTCGTGCATGGAAAAAGCAGAGATACGCAGAGAAATGACGACGCATTTTGTCGCAGTATTTTCAAATAAGGGATGTTAAGTTGACTTTCTTTTTTGAAATTCTGAACAAAATGTAGAGTTGTGAGTATCTTATTCTGACAATTTTAGATATTTTAAATGGAAATAAAACTGAAAGCTTTGTCATCAACAAATATTTAGATTTGTTTTTTAAATCAGTTACATACCATTTCCCAGAAATATACTAAATTTACAAAGAAACATTTATTTTAAATTTGTCACATTAATTCACTTTCGTCAACTTCTGGAGATGATATTTCTATTCTGCAAGTAAAGAAAAAGTTGCCTTAATTGTCTTTAGAACCAAATAGAAAATCGTGAGTCCGGTGTACATTGAAAGTAAAATTTCTCAGAATAAGTAACAACGTCGACAAGTTCGCATCAGATTTTCCTGGAAAACGACAAATTGGAAATCGACCTGTTGGAACATTATCTCCAATATCAATGCGGGATTCTTATACGTTCTTGAAGTTGCGAGGAACTTTTTCATCTTTGTTCGCCACATCGGTAGTATATAATCACTTCCAGGAATTTCCTGTGTTTGGAAAATACGAAATCAATACGATGCCAATGATTTCTGGCTTTGAAACAAGGATTCCTTATCTTCGAGTAATGCAAGGGAACAAATACTTCGAATTCTTTTCAGCGGAAACGTCCTTCCACTTGCGATAAAACGTGATGAAAACATTTCGAATGAAATGCATGTGGACAAGAAATGGTCTCTAAACTTTCTATATTTTCTTACCCTACTGCAACATCCTCGGGTCTTACGAACCAAAAGGAACATATAGGCAAAGGTAGTTATGGGACCGAGTTAGAAGTGGGAAAGAACGCGAGATGAGAGACAAGGCAAACGCAGATATGACGACGAAGACACAGAATCATAGATCTCGGCAGAAGAAAATGTTGAGCGTACGTAGGAAAACGAGACAATGAGAAACTATTAGATATATCCATATGGTGGGAGAAAGATGGAGGGCTGAAAAATGGCTGGGGAATGCAAAAATCATTGTATCAAAATTTAATTTTATAAAATTCCATTTTATCAAAATATTTCCGAAAAAATCATTCGAATTTAACATCAAAAAGGTGAATGCGGAGATTTATTCAACTTACATATAACAATTAATTGTATGATAAACGTTTGATTCAGAAAAGATTCTTTGAGTGCCTATGAGAGAATATTAGTATGAAAATAGCACTTTCGTCACAAAAATATAAAATTGAAAAAGGCAATAATACTTAAACAGATTCAAATAAAACTTAACATTTGTAACTAAATTAGTTTAGTTTATACAAAGCGGTAATTTACGAATGTTTAACAGCAAGGTTCACTCAAGAGCGATGTGTTGCCTTTTCCTAACTTTTAACGAGGATATACTATTCATTTTCAAAGAGAATGAGATACGTCGTTGGGAAAAAGAGTGAGAAAAATCAAAGACGAGAAAGCTATATGGGAAGAAAGAGGCAGAAAAACGAACTCAGCTAAAGAAAGAACGCTATACGAAGAAAATGGGTGTAACTTTTTGTGGGCGATCGTGAAAGTAAATAATTACGTACCTCTCCCACGGTCGTCTCCACCTCAGCCACGACCTCACCCCCCCCACCTCTGAGCCACCTTTGCCTTAGCCTTGCAACGCCTGCGACTAGACTTCATGCAGTCGCGACCCCATCTCCACCTTAAATGATATCATTTACATTCTCCCTCTCTCACTCCTCTAATACCCTGCCTCAGTCACACCACGGTTTTGGCCGGCTGCCACGCACATTTTGATCCACACACATTTTGATCAGTCACCTCCCCGATTTTCACCTGTCTTCGCCCCAATTTCCATTATCATTCAATTCCATTTTGTCCCTACATTTACCATCTTTCCCATTTTGTTCCGATTTTCACTTAAATTCTTTCAGACTTTGACCCTCCTTCAACCACCCTGAGTTTGCTCCGTCGCCACCTCGATTTTCACCCTCCATCTCCGACCCGTCATTCGGTTTCACTCGCCTCCAGCGCTCCACCCGCCTTTGGCCTTACGCAGGAAAAATCTCTGGAATGTTTACGCTGAAGAGCGACGCAACTTTTAATTGCCGGGAAAGGAACGACGACGAGCCCGCCCACGCGCCCCGTCTCTCTTTTGTCCGCGGCAGCGAGGGAGCGCAGGAGTGGGTGGTAAGATGCACAGATACGAGGAGCGGCACTGACGGATTCTAGCAAGGGCACCGACACCGCTTTCGACGCTATCGTGAATCTCACTTTAGAATAATAACCCTTTCACTTTTACACGGTTATGCTGACACTGAGGAGAACTGTTTACGACTTATTAACGTTAGAATATTCCCCACGCAATTATTTGTTCTATTCATAACTACAAATTGTAATTTGAATTTAGGTAATTTGAATTTATTTTAATGCAATTACAAAAAGGGCCACGATGAGGAGTTGACTCAAGAAAAATTTGGATGAATAAAAATGGGTGAGATGTAATGTTAGTTATACGTAGCAGGTTAAGGAACTAAGCTGTAGGAAACCTGAGTGGAGAAAAAAAGTGGCTTTAAAATACAAGTAACGTCTCATATTATACATCTAAATATTACATATGATGTGATTCAATGAGCAAAAATATATGTGCAGTTTTTGTGAGAGGTTGCCGAAGAGAGAGATTGTCGACGAGAAGATCGCCGTCATGGTTCCAGCCGGATACATTGCAGTGCAGTTGTAGTGGATTTATAGTGTATTCAATGATGTAAAATGAAACTTGACGAGAATGTCATTTAAAAATATATTACATTATATTTCGAGACAAAATTGATTTTAATAAAATATTTGTTTCCATTAGAAACTTACGGAAATATAAAAATATGTTTGCATCGTTTCGAAACTTACCGCAATAGATAACATTTTGGTTTCGTTTCGAAGTAGAAAATAACATGGATATTTTTTCGAACCAATACGGAAAACTTTTAGTACAACTGATTTAGTTCCGTTTCACCACCTTGTTTGTACTCCATCACAAACAATGAGGGCGACATCGAATTTCAGAGAAAGCGGAAAGTTCAATAGCGTTCAGCAAAAAACGAGGAGTCTTCTTAAAGATTCGCCAATGGGCGGGTCACAGGAGGGTGGTTCATTTATTAGCAAGCGCACGATAAAGCAGTCCGAGTTTTGATTTAATGCCCAAGCTGATTTTCGCATTTGCCGCCTCTTCTTTCCGTAATTTCACTGAAGCTGCTATCGCTGAGTGCCGCTAGAGAGCGCCGAATGCTTCTCGGTAAGCTCCTCTTCAATTCAGGGGATAGGAACACTGCAGGCAGACTTGATGTGTTTCGGGTTTTGAGTGTCCTGACGAACAATCTATGTTCTTAATCACTAAATGAATTTGGGAAACAGAAAATAGATCGTATTTATTTCAAAATCTTGATTTTTTACTAACAACTTGGAAGGAAAATTTTATTACGGTTAATATATCCGTCGACTAAGGTAAAAAATAGCTTTTTACATCTCCAATAGTAATGAAAATAAACCTTTCCCTTTACCGTCGTGGTACTAGGAATGTCAGGAACAGTACTTCCATTTTCTTGAAGAGTAATTGTTGTGCAAAACACTAAAAATTGGTATTAAAATATATGGGTATAAAAAAGTCGTATATATTATTCTTTCATAGTAATTAAAATTATATTCAAATTTATTTATACTATTAAAAAATATCGAAACATACTGCGTAGAAGAACATGGCCCTATTTCTCTCAAAAATTGGGAAGCAACGTAGCTGCATATTCAGTGACAAATCCTCCGCTGACCTCGTCCCCTTACCCGCTACGCAACATGCCTTTTATTACTGCTCCCACTACTTCCTTTTTCCCTCACAATCTTTATCTCTCTCACCCATACAATCCCTCACGCTTCAACACACTTGCCTCCCCTCAAACTCCATATCTTCCGTACGTGCAAGTATTTCTCACATTTCTTCATGTTTCTCTCCTCTCCACTCTACTCCACTCCTCCTTCCATTTTGTTGCATACGTACATCATTTTGTTCTTCTCTTTCTTTACCATTTCACTTGCATCCCATCTCATCACGCACCATACCAACATCCTCTCGCGGATTTCCTCCCACTCTCCCACCCACATACTCTATCCCTGTCCCATTACCTCTTCTTACT